TTGTAGCTGACAGTGTATGTATCAGAGAGTGTATCTAGCTGACAGTGCAGCTGACAATATAGCAGACAGTGTAGCTGACAGTATAGTTGACAATGTAGAGAACAGTGTAGCTGGCTGATAGTGTGACTGATGGTGTAGCTGACACTGTTTCTGACAGTGTAGCTGAGAATGTAGCAGACAGTGTAGTTAACAGTGTAGCAGACAGTATAGCTGAGTGGTGGACAGTATAGCTCAGCAGTAGCCTGTTTGTTAAACAAATTAATGATCAGACCCTAAATTAGATGCACAATTCTAAATACATATAATAACAAAGTGAGTCAAACAAACAAAAAGCCAAAATTTCCAAACAGACAATTAGTAGTCTACTTTATCAGTGGTAGAATGTGGACAATAAATTTAGAAAGCAAGAATACTTATTTGCAGATATTGTCAGAATTTTTTAATGGTTAATTAATTATAAAAATTACCAAATATTTGGACTGGAGAGACTATTCAGCAGTTAAGAACACTGTTCTTGCAGAAGACCTGGGTTCAAATCCCAGCACCCACATGGCAGGTAACAACTGTCTGTAACTCCAGTTCCAGGGGATCTGACAGCCTCTTCTGTCCTCCGTGGGCATTGCACAACACAGGTGCACTTACCTACATGCAGGCAATACACGCATAAAAATAAAATAAAAATTAATAAATAAAATTTTGGAAAAAATTGCCTAATATAAATTTGTTCTACCCCTTTGCTTTTAAATGATGAGCTAATATGATTTTCCATCATATAAAATAGTCAAAGTATAATTAATCGATGATGACTAAATGAAAGAGAACATTTGAGTATATTTAGGATAACTGAGACTCAAAAAAAGAAGTTGTTAAGGATTTCACCTCACTAACCAATCATGGGAAGAGAAAATACTGGTAACATCCTGAATAATATCATAACCCTGAAAATTTGAGAAGAAATCATTGATGATGAGGGGCTGTCAATTGTCTACCTATGTGACAGATTTTTTTAAATTTCTAAAATAATAAACATG